CTGCCACACCATGTGGTCACCTCCGGGGCGGGCAGGAATCGAACTCATGCAGAAGCAGCTTCAGATTCTCAGTGCTGTGCTTTAACCTGCTGCGCCACCAGGGAGTGCCACAGCAATGTATTCTTATCTCCTTCCTCTCTCTCCCCCATTGTATGCCTGGCAAGCTGTCAAATCCCTGCCTCTTGGCTACAGTGGCTCTCCCCTCTCCTGTGTTCTGTTTGGTCTCTTGCTTCACTCCCATCAGCATATAATAACCATGACACAGTCTCCCCTTTGAAGGTCTCCCTTGACTCCACAGCAGTGTCTTACCTAGCTACACCCTGCATTCCCTCCCCCATTATGGCTTCCCTTTATAATGGCCCTGCTCATATCCATTCTCCCAGGCCTCTTTTCTGGCTCATGCTGTCTCATCACAACTTGTTCTTTGTCAAGGCTCCCACCAAACCTTCCTTGTCAAATCTTTGGTCACTTCTGAGCCTTTTTGTTTTGCTGCTTTGTCTTCATCTTAACTTGCCTAGTCTGTCAATGCTGACTCAGACATTTCTTCCCTTAACGCTTTCCTCAATAGGTCCTCTATCCACTGTCTAGGTTTTCTCTCAATCTCATGGCTCTTGTTTCTCAGTCCTTTCTGATGGCTCTTCAGTTGGAGGCACAGCCTGGATCCCATCTCCATGTGTGCTGCCTTGAACATCAACTGCAGCTTCATCACTCCAAGGTTTATATCCTTGATCTCAACCCCACCTCTGATTACTGAACGGCCTCCTAAATTCTATACCTGCACTTCACAGATGCATCAAACAAAACAGGGCTCTTAATTTACTCCCCCAAACCTGTCTCCTTTATCAGCCTCAGTCATTCCTGTCTTCCTTGTACCTGACATCTAGTCAGTCTGGTCCATCAGCGAGTCCAGCTGCTCTACCGTCAGAATATATCTCAAGTCCAGTCCTGTTCCCTACTCCCCGCAGTCTGTTACTACAGCCCTTTCCTGGATTACTAAAGAGCTGCCTCATTTGTTTCCCCACTTGCAGTGGGGAATAAACACTTTGCCTCATTGTTTATTTCCTGCACAGCAGCAAGACTATTTGCATTTCATTTAATTTGTAAAAATGTAAATCATGTCTTCCATTTTTCTGTTCAGTGTCTTAACCTGTTGAGCTCTTTATTTTCTTTAACACCGTTCGTGCCCTAAATCATGTATTTACTTACTTGGTTATTATTTGTACCCCTAACTAGAATGAAAACTTGGTGGGGGCTGGTATAGTACCCAGTTTTGGAAGGCTCTTATTAGTAAAAGGCATTTGATATTTTTTGAATGAATAATTAATTACAAGGTAAGTAAAGTTTTATTTCTTAGTTCCAATTAATACGAGGGGAAGGTCTCAAAGATCTTTAAGACACTCATTCTCTGTCCAGTTTTCCTCTTAATGAGTTTGGAAGACCCACTGGAGAAAATCAGTAATGTTCATTGTGTCCTTCATGAATTTATACCATCTGACTCCTTGGCCTGTTCCTCCTCCCCGCCCGCCCAGGTCCTTAACTTCTTCAGTCCCACACCCCTTGAATGTTTGGGGGTTTTTTTAGATGTTTTCTGCTGTAAGGTCCCTATCACTTGCTCCCAGCAAGTGACCCCATTTCCTACCTGGCAGAGGAATTCCAAATTGTGTAACTCCCTCCATCCATCTTAGGATCTCTCTTGTCCTCACACTGGTGTCTACAGACGACTTGTCCTAACTGTAAACTTGGGTAAGTTGTGTAATCTGAGCATCCATTTTCATGTTCTTTAAAAGGGGGTTAACGCCCTCACTTGGGCAGTCTATTGAGTAGAGTAAGTACTCAGCACAGGACTCAGTACAGTGCCTTGCGCAGGCTGTGTCTTCCTCGCTCTGAGGCTCTTCCTTCAAGTTCCCAGACTTGTGGAGGGGTGGGGAGGGGGCTGTCGTCTGTTGGAAGGTTAATAAGAGTACTGTCCCATCTGTCTAGTGTCACTCAGGCCACATGTTATAAGCAAGCATGTGAAGTAAGAATGTTTTCTAAAACTTAATGTATTACTTTTGCATCTTTATTTCACCTGTGCACTCCTTAATCCTTGCCACCTGGCCCTCCACCCAAGGCCTCTTAATCTGCTTTCAAAAGACCCAGTCCACCTAAGGCATTTGCCATGCTAGCCCTTCTCTCTTGGTACCTGTCGTCTGGGGCACTCATCATTGTCACCTGCCTCCTTCATTTCCCCTGATCACTCTTCCCTGTTTCTTCCGTGGCTCACATCTGGCCCTCCAGCTGGCCCTCACAGAATCCCAGGGATTAGTCTTCCCACATCTCCAGCCCCCAGTTTCAGCTGTCTTCTGCTTTGCTCCTGGCTTCTCAGACTGCTGCCCCCACATTGTGGGCCCTTTTAAATTTCTTTGATGATCCGCTTCCTCTATACGCCAGGACCATGTTGTGCTCTTACTCCTTCCGTAAAAAGTTCACGTAATTCCTTACTACTTCTTGAAGAGAAAACATAGCCCTTGCTGGCCTTCACGGCCATGCAACTGGCTCTCCTAGCTTCTTACACCCATGACTCCACACCCCCAGGATTCATCTGTCCTTTAACCTTCCCCTTCGCTCCTCTCATAGTGCCTCATTTTCGCATAGTGCTTGCCTAGAAAGATGCCCCCCACCTTCTGTGGGTAGAAATGCCATCTTATGTGGCGACCCTTTTGTTTTCCCTACACCTGTGCTTTGTTTTTTCTCAGCATTCCTCTAGCTGCTCCAGGGCCACTTGGCATTTCCCTTTCCCAGTGTGGGTGTTCTCTGCCACAGTCTGGTTCATATCCATTGTGTGACTTCTGTGGGCTGTCCATGCAAGTGCCTGTGCAAGGTGCTTGCTCAGATGATGGGCAGCTTTCACGGTGTGAGTCATGTTGGAAACACTTTGATCTCAACTGCCAGGTGGGGCTGTGGCCTGGGGGCCAGGTTCTCCCTGTTCTAGGGCCTCTCTCCCATGGGGCTGTGGGGCTCCTTTTTCTCCTCGGCCAGGGCCAGAGGCCAAGATCAACCCTTGAGGGTCTTTGTCAGGGCTGTCACAAGGTAGACAGCCTTGTTTTCCTACCTCAGACAGTTAGAATTGCCTCTGCCAGTCTAGGGCCTTTAGTAGGAGCGGTGGGCTTGGGACCTCCGGCTTCTTTTGGATCCTGTCAGACTCGTGAGCTGATCCTGGTCTAAGTTGCCTCCCAGATGGCCTGGCTCCTGCCTATACAGGCAGGATGTATATATAACAACAAATGCCACATACCATAAAAATGCCCATGAGCATGTAGCAGTGGGGCTTCTGGCCCGCCCTCATGTAGTGCAAGGGGTAAAGGCAAAGCCCTCTGCAGCTAACCAGGGAGCTGACACACATGGTGCAACAGACCTCTCCTGTCCTGTCTGCTGTTCCCCTCAGTAGTGTATTTCAGTAGATCCACTTGTTCTGTTCCCACTCTGATAAATTCTTTTACTCCTCCTACCACACCTCTGGTCTATACCCCAGTTCTTGTATGCATACATAAATTAAAAAAAAAGAAGTTGGGCTCCTTTTTAAATGTGGGTTTTGCCCCCCCCCCCGTGCATATTACCCAAAATGGGGGTGTCTGGCAGTGGGAACTTAAGAGTATAAAAGACGGACCTGAGGTCACCTCACTCAAGAAATTCACCATTTTACCTGCCTGAGTTAACTTGGAGCCTGCCAGACAGTTCCATCCGACCCACAACTGTCTCCTGCACAGGATCCCATACAGGATTGCAAGGCGTGGGGTGGTAAGGAAGAGCCGGGAGTGGGTGCTGGAGAAGAAAGCGCGCCACAGGCGTCAGGGCAAGTGAGTACCTGGCCTGGGGAGAGGCTGGTGAAGATGGGGGGTGGAGGGGTGTCTGTGGCTACTGAGGACTCACCTATGTCGGAAGGTTCCTCTTTGTTCTTTTTTCTGAGACTGTTCCTCCTACCAGTTTTTTTTTTTTTTCCTACAGGGAAGTCAGACCCGACACTCAGTACACTGGCCGCAAGCGTAAGCCCCGCTTCTGAGCAGTTGAAGCCAGTGAGACAACCTGGGCTTCACAGTTGTGAGCTGAGGCCTCCAGCCTAGGCACCCGCCTCTGGAAAGTTTAGAAAAGTTCTGTAAAGTTCTAAAAATGTTTTCTTTGCTAAAGTTATAAAGCCTGTTACATTTTGTTCTAAAAGCAATAAACCACTTTCTGTGGAATGCTTTGATTCCGTCATTTTCTAGGTTCTTGCTCCTAAACAAATTTCTCAAGTTCTTCTCTTAGTGGGAGCTACTACTGATTCCCGAGGTAGGAGTAGGTTTACAGAACTTAAATATTTGGAGCACATTCCTTTAACTTAAGGCTCATTGAATTATCTAACATATGACCAAGTTGGAAAGGATGAGCAGGATGGAGTGTACCTGTGTCTTCAGCATGAGGCGTCGCTCAGCCTATTTTCCTTTTGGGCTGAAGGTGTTTTCCAGACCAGAGGCCCTCAGCTGCTAACCAGCCCAGCACTTGGCTGCCTCAGGGGCCTCTCACTGCTTAGTTATTAGCGGCTGGAAGGACAAGTCCTGCACAGGGCGACTCATAGACTGACAGGAAAAGAGGAGCCCATCCATGGTCATTTGCAGCTTTCGGGGAAAGTGGCCCATGGTGCAGACTGGGCACCAGGTGTTCAGCAAGACCCGAGTGAGACATTGAGCCGGCACCAGAGGGCCAAGGGCGTAAGTTCTTTGGGAAAAGGACGGGGTCATTTGATTCCCTCTAGCCTTAGTGCCCGTACACTGGCACTCCCCCTCCCCCCGAGTTCTAAGGCTGTGACAAGATAGAAATCTAGAGCAGAGGCATGGTACAGATACAAATGTTTATTCTACATAAAAATTTCACAAAATGGGCAGCTGGTTGTACCAAGACCTTTGGTGAAGGGGTGGAGAGTGGAGGGGAGGGAAGTTGCTGTTAAAGGCAACACGGACAGTGTTAGTCACTGGGCGGGAGCAAAGCCGGGGGAAGGTAGGGCACAGACGTGGCCCCATCCCCTGCCGCATGCACTCGCATGCACACTCCCTGCCTGCCACTGAGGAAGTGGGGTGGGGGACACGTTTCTGACTTGAGAAGGCCCAAGATGGTGGGGAAGGACAAGTACCCCTCCCTGACTGGCTGCTGAATACTGCATCCGAGACACCTGACACCCACGTGGCACATCAATGGGGGACAGCAAAGGTAGAACAAGATTGCAGGCCAAAAGTGACATGACTTCCCAGAGCACGAGAGCAGGGACCACCATCCCAAACATGCACAACACAATGGCTTGAGGACCCGACAGGCCTGCTGGGGAGATGGCCCAGGCTGTGGCCCGGGCACTGATAGGGGCCTGCTCTGCTTCCCGGGCTCCACGGGGTGGTTGGAAACCAGGTACCAGAAGGCTACCTGGAGTCAGGATCAGGCATAGCCCAAAGGGGTTGCTCCTGGGCTTGAGGGATATGGAAGGGAGGCTGAGGCAGCCAAAGACCTGCTGGACTCTGCCCCTAGGTGGGGAGGAAGCCTGGTCTTGACAGGGCCAGAATCCATCTGGCCACAGCACCCTGAGCCTCCCTGGCAGTGATCAGCTGTTTGAGGCTTGGAGCAGGGCTGTCTCTCAGGGCTACCCTCCCCTAACCTGAAAAGCAGCACCATGTGGCCAGCTGGTCCCCACCCCTCAGGGGGATCCATTTAGGGGGACAGCTGGAGAGGATAGGGCAGATGAGTGGGTCAGCAGGAGGCAAGGCCAGAATCCAGGCAGCCTTGATCCCAGGAGGGGCAGACCCCAGACTGGAGAGTTACTGAAGGCAAGGGAAGGAGACCATGTGAACGAGGGCAGCCCTGCCTGGGAAGGGTGAGACGGCCTGAGCCGGTGCCCCGTCTGTCCCTTGTTGGCCTATCCCCACCCCACTGGCAGTTTCCCAGCCCACCGTCCCTCTGCCTCTTCTGTACAGACACACACTGTCACAAAGATCATGCACACGACGGCTCAGGGCAGGGTGGGGACGGTGGGCCCTGTGGCAGAGAAAGGAGCAGTTTGGAGTGGCAATGAGGGCTTCCAGGCCAGAAGGCTGCAGCAGCCAGGGGGCCTCCTCAGGGCGGACCATCCAGAGTGGAGTGGAAGGTGGGTGGTTTCTAGCCAAAGATGCCTCCAAAGGTGGAGGCGATGACGATGCCCAGGACCACACAGCAGATGATGATCATGATCTTCTTCTGCAGCGGGGAGGCATGAAGGAGCCTCAGTACACGCAGGAGGGCGGGGAGGATGAGTGCCCTGGCCAGAGCTTTGAGGGGCGTGGTGGCCAAATGGAGGGTGAGGGTGGAGGGCTGGAGAGTATGGGGGGCCAAGTGGGGAGGTGACAGCCTAGAACACACCCGGGGAGAGTGGGTAATGGGCACCCAGGCCTGGGTGTGCTGGGTGAAGGTTCTGGTTGGAGTTGAGAGGTGGGGTAAAGGTAGAACAGGGAAGGATTTGCGCTGGTCGAGAAATTTTTAGTGGGTCAGGGTGGGGAATGGGCTTGGGCAGAGTTGGAGCTACTGACCCGGCGTGCTTTGCTCTGGTACTTGACGGCTTTCTTGGTGTCGGAGACGGCCCTCTCCACATAGTCCACTGAATGCTCCACGTTGTACTCAATCCTGTCAATCATCTCTCCCTGCAGGGTCAGGAGCACCCAAGCTCCAGGGTCAGCACCCCTCTCAGGGTCAGGACTTTGGGAAAGCACCCTGCAATTTGAGAAAAGGGGGCATGAGGATGAGGTACAGCTTCTCTCCGGTGCTCTTCAGGCCAGAACCCCAGCCACATTCTTTCTCTCCAGAGAGCAGCCATCCTGGGGAGGGAACTGGCCATGCAGTCTCGTCCAAAGGCGCGGGAGGGCTGGGGACCATGCAAACACTCAGCGGGGACCCTGAGCCAGTGCCAGGCAGAGTAAGGCGGGGCAGGCATGGATAGTCTTTGGAGTCTGGTGAATGCTCCCAAGGTGACCACAGTGATCCCCCCACTCCATCCTTCCCAGGCACGATGGTTCCATCCAGCTCTGTAATCTTTAATCTTTAAGACTCACTGCCCTGCCCAGGGCCCACTTGAGCCCTGCAGTCTGTTCCCATGCAGCCCCCCAAGACTCCTAGCAGTTTGGGTTGACAAGTGACTGTTCCCGTTCTAAATCCACTGCGCCCACCGGCACCCCATCTCACCCGGCTGGCAGCAGCAGCCTCCTTGGCATGGCCTCCCGGCTTCCTAGCTCGGGCCATAGCACGCTATACTGCAGACCCTTCAATCCAGAGGAGATCCAGACGCCCAGTCCCACCACCAAGGCCTCCCCCATTTATAGCATCTCCAACTACACTGTATTCCAGCTGCATGCCCCTCCTTTCTGCTCCTCAGATTAGTCGGCTCTTGCCAGCCTCAGGACAGGGGTGTTGCTAGCCTCTGCCTAGGCCAACTCGTCAGTCTGCCCCTGGGAAGTCTTCCGTGCTCAAACGCTACCTCCTCAGAGGCATTCCCGACTACCCTGTCCGAAGTGGTCACCACAGCCTACCACACAGTGTTACCCCAACTGTGGCATCAATGTCATCCTTGAGTTTGTTAGAAATGCAAATTCATGCCTTCCGCTGCCTCTTGGACCTATGACCACTGGGACTGGACATGGAAGCTCAGAAGTCCTGCCAGTAGTTCATGGGCCCTTTCAATTTGAGAGCCACTACTCGATCACTCGGCCTCCTCAGATCCCCTGGGCACCTGGACAAGTGGAGACTATTCCACCTGTCGTCTACTTATGCTGCCCTTTTGCCCCACAGACATTAGCCCCAAGGACAGGCCCTAGGTGGTCCTGCTCACTGCTGTACCTCCCGCCCCCAGACAGGGACCTGGTCCACAGTGCACAGTGAGCTGGCGAATACAGGACAAGACGGGGTGATAGGAAGGGCCAGGCAGGACTTGGGGTCCAGGAGGGTGAAGCAGAGCCATGCAGCCCCTTGGTCTGGTGGGAGAGCCATGCAGAGGGAAGAGGGTCCTTCTAACGGGCAGGGCCCTGGAGGCAGTTAGTTACCTGGAGACTCAGTCCCTCCCAGGTGGGGCAGCATGTTGGGCGGAAAGGGTCGGGTTAGCGCAGCCCTGGGTGCTGCAGTGGGCGAGGGCAGAGGGCGCCTGGCCCCGGGCACTCACCTGGCTCTCCACCAGCATGGCCATATCCATGAACATGTCATGCAGCTCACGGATGCTGTTCTCCAGTTTGATGATCTCACTGTGCCGCGTCTCAATCTCGCTCAGGGCCTGCTTTGAGATGCTGGAGTCCATGATGATCTGCAGAGCAGAAGCAGTGGGAGGGTCTGCAGAGAGCCTGGGGATGGGGCCCAGGACAGGAGACCAAGACCACAGGGGCGGGGCCGTGGCCTGAACAGTGTTTCTGAAGCAGGGCCCAAGGCTCCCCTTAGTCACAGCCCTCCCTGCACTTCCTGCTGCTCTTGCTAGCTGTCACATCTCTCTGAGGTCTGATTTCCTACCTGTAATATGGGACAGTTAACGCGTCTCACCTAGGCTTTCCACACACTAATTGCTCAGTAAGTGCTAGTTCTCATCAGCAGCTGGTACAGAGCCCAAGCTGACTGCCCCAAGGACCCAGGCCTCGAACTGCGTTCCCCCACCCTTCTCTTTCCTCCCACACTAACTCTGAGTGCCCCCACCCCTGCTGCAACCCACAAAGCCAAAAGGCCTCCCACCCTGTGTGCCGCCTCCTTCGGGGAGCCCCTACTCGGCACAGCGCAGTCTCACCGGAACAGAGAGGCAGCTGAGGGCACTGAGTCCCCCAGGAGGGTAAAAGGTCCTGAGGGTGGTGGAAAACCAGTGGTGAATGGGCTGGGGTAGCAGGAAGTGGACCAACTGTGAGGAACCAGGAGCCAAGGGTCTTAATTCTATCCTTGCTACTGACATTCACGTGTTCTCAGCTGCTACCTGCCCTCTCTGCTAGGTCTCTAAAACCTGCTCCGCAGGCTGTCGAAATACAGCATTTTGCACATACACCAGCGTCCCTGCACCTCCACTCACCCCGGAAGCAAAGATAGCTGGATTCCCACTCTCCAGCATGTCCTCCAGTTCCTCGCTGGTGGTGGTCCTGCCCGCTGCAAACAGGGGTACCAATGAGCGAGCCTCTGCCTGCTTTACCCAGGGAGTGCATCAAACCCCGCCCCGCCCCGCCCCAGCCAGACTCTGCCCCCCCATCTAGGCTGGCGCCCTCAGTTTACTGATCTCCAGCTGCCTCTGGATGCGGCCCTTGCAGCGCTCTCGGTAGTCTGACTGCGTGGCATTGTACTCCGACATGACCTCCACAAACTTCCGAGACAGTGTGGAGTGCTGTGGGTCAGACAGGGGCGCAGGTGTCAGTCCAGCCTTACCCCAGAGCCTCTGGCACCCTACCTGCCACCTGCCCCCGAGGCCGGCCTGCACCTGTGTCTTCCGGATCCTCAGGTCAGCTGACGAGCGGTTCAGGCCCTCCTCCTGCTCAATGCTCTGCTCAATGCCTGAGAGAACAAATGACTGCTGAACCCTAACCTGGACCCCCTTTTCCCCATGACCCTTGCACCCAGGACCTGGCCAGTGGCCTGCCCTGGGGGAACTCATGAGTGGGTCATGGAAGGAGGAAGAGAAGCACCAGGCGCTGAGGGAGGAGAGACGGCATGATGCGCGCACAGTACATGCACGTGTGCGTAATTAACACACAACGGAACCGGCTGTGAGCACCTACTACGTGCTAGCTTGGTGCTCAGACCTGCCAGTTTCCGTCCTGTTTACTTCCTCCCTAGGAAGGCTATGCACCCACCAAGAGGTCAGGTCCAGATGGGGTGGGCTGTGTGGCCAAGACCTGTAGGGCTTGAGGATCCCAGTCAGGGCCCAGGTGGGGTGTGCACAGCTGTGCCTGCCCAAGGGCAGGGGGCTTCTGTGTGGGGCCAGGTGGTGCCGGCGCTCTGCTGACTCTCTAGCTGAAGGGGGATGGGTTGAGGGGGGCAGTGTCCAACATGGAGGATGCTCTGGACAAGCCTGAGGTATCTATCTACCCAGAGGCTTAGCCCAGAGTCTGGCACAACAGGCTTTCTAGGTAGCTGCTGGCACCCTCACAGAGAAACGCAAGACCCAATGGGCCCCCTTGGGCTGAGTGAAATCTCACAGGCTGCATGGAAGAAGCAGGCCTGCGGTGCCCCTATTTCACAGACAAGGCCTGGCGCCCACACTCACTCTTTAATTTGGAGCGAACTTTGTTTGCCGTCTTCTTTATGTCAGACATGAGTTCTTCCAGCTCCTCCTTCGTCTCTGGGAGGTAGAAAGGGTTGGGGGGAGACATCTAGAGTTCCCCTCACCTCAGGCTAAGGTGCTGCCTGCCCTTCCACCTGAGGTCCAGGGCCACGGGAGCAGCAGCCCCCCGCTTCTTGCGCTGCCTCGCACGGAGCCTCCCTTCCTCCTAGGCTGACTCCCCCACTCCCTGAAGAAAACAGATGGGTCTAAATTTAAGGCAGAAACACTCGTGGAGCAGCTGGTGTTGCTGGGGTTGGCCTGGGGCATATTCGCTTGACACTTGCCTCAATCGAAGGTGGAGTGGACACGCTCTCCTTGCCTCACCTGGTGGGTCGGGATGGGGAGCAGCCAGTGAATGGGACACTGGGCCAGGGCCAGGGAGGCAGACGGCAGCCCCGCCCCCTCCCTGGAATCAGGCTTCGGAGCTTCGAGGCCAGACCTTGTTCTACACTCCAAGCCCCTCCTTGGCTGCTGAGCCCAGCGGAGAGACCAGACTTGCCGCCCAGGGTGTCTGGGGGCAGGAGGCACTTGGCCTGGAAGGGAGCTGGAGAAGAGGTTCATAGAGGTGGGCCCCTGGCATACGGTGCCCTGAGTAGCAGGTACTTACCTCGTGAGAGAGGGAAGCTGGGGCAGGCGGTGGCATGGAGTTCCTAGCTGTGTTCCAACTAGAACCATCTCCCTAAAACTGGCAGAGGCCGTGAGGCTGACCAGCTTGCCCCTCTCCCCAGAGAGCATGGCTGATAAAATGGGGCAAGACGTCCTTTCCCTATGGGTACCGGGGGCAGCAAAGGGTGCTGGCAATATTCCTGCCCAGGGCAATCCCGAGAAGCCACCCCTGCAGAGAGCATGCCTGAGCTGGGCCCCTCTGGGGCCACAGGGGACTGGAGAGGAGCTTCGAGTGGTCAAGCAGAGAGGCCACAGGCGAGGGCCAGCTCCCGGTGGCTGTAAGTGGAGTGGAGTGGGGGGCTCCGAGGAGCGGAGGAGGGTGCCTCATTTGTATGAACAAAGGAAAACTTGGCTACCAGCTGCTCTGACGTCTCAGCTTCTTTTGCTCAGACCCAAAATAGCCCAGCCCGGATGGCAGCCCCCAAAGGAGGCAGAGGGAGTCTTGCCCAGCGAAGCCCGCCACTCACTGCCAATGTTCCTGTGACTCTTGCTAACTCTGCTCCACTCTGGCCTGGGACCCTGAGTGAGGCTCCTGCCCGCGTGCCTGCCAGTCAGCCCACACCTTGACTATCAGCTCACTGGCGGTGATGCTGAACTGGTCACTACTGGCTGTGCACAGCGTGCTGAGGAGCAGCCGGGCAGCCTGTCATCCCAGACCCACCTGCCTTCCAGAAGGGGACAGGCCAGCTCCCCATCTCTTTACAGCTCCTACCCACAGCTAGCCCCCTCTGACCCTCATCAGAAGTGACCCTTACAGGCAAACAATATGACCCAGATCTACGTGGGCCCAGAGGCAAACCATGCCACGTGCCGCTGACCCAGACAAATCTCTGGGGAGTGGGAAATTCCACTGGGTACATGTCCTGCTCCGTGGCGGTCCTTCTCTCCTTTCCCCCCATTCCCGGCTGCCTCCCACTGGACTCAACTTTGCCTGCCAAGGTCCTGGGGCTGAGCTTGGTTGTGGCACTGGTGTGGCAATGGCCTTGGGTTTAAGCACACTGGAGCCATGGATTTATTCTGGGGGTTTGGGGCTGGCTGTGGGCCTGGGTTAGGGGTGATGGAGAGGGTGCCAGTGCTGGAAAGCAGAGTGAAATCAAGTCCTAGGTGCCTGGGCTGTGGGGCCCGAAACACCTGGGCAGCACCCTCTCTCATGGCAAAGCAGCATGCGGACAGGGGCTGCGCATATGCCTGGGCCTCTGGGGGGAGGGGTAAGCCCCCCTCAGGGGATGGGATTTGGGAGCTGTCAGCCTGCCACATACTAGTGGCGAAGTCAACACCTGAACAGGAGCAGTGACAGCAGGGCCGGCGTTCCCGCCTTGGGGACAGAGTGGAATGTAGACACACACTGGTTCCCTGTGAGAAGGGGGAGAGGTGATTTCCTGGAGCCCCGAGAAGGCTTGGCTCTGGGGTGCCAGTGGCCAGGTGCCAGAGCTGCCAGCTCTTTCCGGAAGCTCTGCCTGCCTGGCCGCTCTGCCCTCCCACAGTGCTGACGCCTCAGAGCAGCCATCTGCTCCCCAGGGAGGAGAGAAAGGGAGGGGCTGGGCTGGAGGCCTCCTATTGATCGGAGGCAGGCTCTCCCTCGTCCGCCCCACTCTGCCTCCCAGATTCTCAGGGCTGCAGCAGCCCAGCTGCTTTGAAAGGAGCCAGCTTACCTGGGAAGGGAGGTGTTGGCTGCCTGGCCCAACGGGGGCCCAAAGAAAGCCCCTTCCACTGCACTCTGCAGGGAGCCTGGGGTCCAGCGCATGCCAGGGGGCACGGACCCCCACCCCCGCTGGCTTTCCTGAGGTTGCCTAGGGAGCGTTTCCTACCTGACCAGGTCTAGGCACCCCTTTGCCGAGCAGTGAGGGGTGCTGGGCTTCCTGGAGGCCCTCCCTCCCTGGTCTGAAGCTGGCCCCTCACACCTACACACTCACTCTCATCAGGGTTGGGGGAGGCCAGGATGGCGCTGTGCTTCCGCTTCACCTCCTCCACATTCTCGGAGATCTTGTCGATAAAGCCACGGATCTCTTCCACCTGTGGGCCAAGGTCAGCTGGTTGGGAGGCGAAAATCTAGGGAGGGGCTCTGGGCCTACAACTGGGCCTGAGTAAGGCGGGAGGCGGACTCTCAGGACAGGCTGGCCCAGGCTTCAGGGGCGGGTGTAAGGTGGGCTTGACTGCGACACACATCCTTCTAGGAGGTGGAGCGGGGGGAACAGGGCAGTTTCAATGCCAGACTCTGCTCCCTCTGAGCTTCGGTCTATGCATCTTCAAAATGGTGCTTGTGGCCACTACGGGCTGCCAGTATATGGGGGAGGGAGGTGCTGGCACCCACCTGTTCGAAGAACTCATCCATGAAGCGATCTCGGTCCACGGTGACAGTGACATCATCATCATCGTCGCTGTCCTTGGCCTGCACGAGGGTGTGCACACATGAGCGGACCTGCGATAGGACCTGGATCCCACTGACCCTGGGGCTTCAAGCTGCCAGGCACCCATACGCAGACTGGGTTCTGACCATCCCCGAGAGCTGTGCGGAGCCACACTGAGATCTGGGGGAATCTCTGGAGACCCAGCCAGGGAGAGGCCAAGCCTGTCAAGTGATGGACCAAGTGTCTACATCCAAGTGAGGGACCCTTCCCCTCACAGGACTGGAGTCCTCCCCGCACACATCTATGCTACGGTGCAAGTGGGTAGGCCGACCCCCGGCCAGGCAAGCAAACCCCAGGACTTGAGCCCCCAGCCACAGGCCCTGCCTAAGACAAGCAGCCTGGAAGTCAGCATTCCCTCTCTCCTGTCCCTTGGCTCCCTTTGGGGGGGGGGGGTGGAGACTGGAGAGACAGTCATGGGCACCACTACACTCCCCTCCCAAAAGGTAGCATGGCTCAGACATGGGCTACCCTCCCAGCACCCCAGATAGGCCCTACCCAACTTTGGAGCTCTGCAAAGCACTGGCTTTGCCCACTCAGTACTCTTGGGATCACCTCTTTCCTTGTCACACCTGGAACTGTGCTCTCTTGCCCTGAGAAACTGGGTTTTAGGTTTTGTCATCTCCATTTCAAGGATACGAACAGGGACCTAGCGGGAGAAAGAGCTGTGGGGTTGGCAGCACCCCAGACAACCCACCCAGAGTGGGTTCCTGCCACTGACCTTTGAGACTGTCAGAAACCCCTAATGGGTAGGGCCACCCAGCCATGAGTGGACCTCCATGGACCAGCAGTGTCACTCCTGGCACTGGACCGCGACCCTCCTTCCTTCTAGGCCCAGAGTTGGGCCCAGCAGGCACAGAAGGCCAGTTATGTTGTCGCTGGCCCAGGGCTTGGCTTGGGCCTCAACCACAGGTGTAGACTCCACTGCTGTAGGGAGAAGCCACGCCCATCATGTGCTGGGGGTAGTGACACCTCTGATGGGACGCTGGCACGCTCATGACTATCCACGACACACTCCGCGCCGCGACCAGCGTCAGCCTACTCTTCTGGAAAAGCCAGGGTTTCTCCCCACAGCCCAGGCCAGGACCCCCCCATGCTCCAGAGGAGGCGCTAGCTGGCCCTGCACCCACCTCCCCACCATGCAGGCCTGGGGGCAGGCCAGGGAGTGTCAGGCTGGGCCTCTCTAGCCTCTGGGGAAGGGGCTCTGGCCTGCACAGGCACTGGCTGGCTGAGGGCCTTCCCCTCTGGGTGTGTTTGCGCCTCTGTGAAATGAGGACAGTCATCCCCGCTGCAGGGAGGGAGCACGAGGGTGGGAAAGCACAGCGTGATCTGTGAAGAGCGCGCTTCTGGGGCTCTTGGGGTCCCTCTATCTTGCCAAAGCGGGGACCAATGAAGAGAGGGGGTTAGTCGGGAGCTTTATGGAGGCGGCTCAGAAGGGCCCCCTCTCATCAACAGATCACACCTCCTCCTCCCTCAGCAGCTAAAATAAATCCTTGTTCCCATAAGTGCCTGTGGCTGCTACCAGGTGGCTTCCCTTCCCCCACCAAGCCCACCAGAGGCACAGAGAATCTAGTCATTTCACACTTAACAGACCCCCCCAGGTCCAGGAGCAGAGCCAGAGGGGCACCTTCTAGGGACACTGAGGCAGAGCACAGCCCGGAGGAGCCCAGCTCCCCTTTCTCGGCAGCCTGCGGGTTGGGAGGTAGACGCACGAGCCCCTGTGACTCTGTGCCTATCCTTGGTCCTTCTGGTGCTCAGAGTAGGAGAGGAAGGGACAGAAGAATAGCCAGCCCCCTAGAAAGAGTAATGACCAGTAAGGCCTTGCAGAGGCCCACACAGCCTTGGTTTGTCCATCTGTGAAAGCAGGACCTATTGTTTTAGATGTGCTGCCAGCCTGGACCCACAACCTCCAGCTTCCTCAGAGGGTCAGAGATTGGATTCAGTTTCTCCAACAGATGCCCAGCAGGAGGGTAGAGCTGACTGGAGTCTGAGGGCGACATGCACGTAGGTGTCCCCTTGGAAGTTTCATTCAGGTTGGCCCCAAAGTCAATTGGGGGTTCAAGGCCTGACCTCAGTCTTGGTCAACCCAATTGTGGCTCCAAGAAAAGCTTGAGGAAAACTCCCAGGAGTCCTTTCCCTCACCAAGACCTAGTGCTTCTTCCTCCTCAGGCCTTTTCACCCCCACCCACGTCTTCATCTCCCTTTATCTAAGGGCCTGACACCTGATCCCAGCACACCCCAAGATTAAGGTCCCCCTGCCACTGCTAGAGTCCCCCCTCCCATGTAGCTCCCCCTACTTGGAATGTAGATGCCATCAGCTGACATCTCCCTCATCCTTAGAAGCCATCTCCTTCCGGAAGCCTCCCCAGCTCCCCTGGGCCACTGTTTCCCTCCTCTGGCTCCCCACACTCGACTCACCTCCCCACTGAGTCACAGGCACAGACTCTCAGGCTCTAAGGGACCTGAAAAGTCACCTTGGCCTCAGCGTCTAGACGCTGTAATGGCAAGTTCGCTAGCTTTCCCAGGCCCCATCTGGAGCAGGCCCGACTGTTAGAAAATCCTCCCCTTCCTGTGGTTTGGTCCTAGGCCAAATGGAGCCTTTGGTGCCCTGGCCCCGGCTGACGCTGCCACAGATCTGAAGGTAGTAGCATCCATATCCTCCCTCGATTTTTCTTCAAAGCTTAACATTTTGTCTCCTTCACATCCTTCCCAGGAGCCCTAAATCGTACAGACCTCTTCCACTTGGCCTCTGTCTTCTCCTACAACACCGAATACAAACTCAATATGCTGCTGACTGTGATCTGAGCAATGCCAAAACACCGACCCATCCCCTTCATTTTTCTACGCTGTCTATCTCTGTTAATGCAGTCAAGTATCACACAAGTGATCATATATATAGCACTTCCTGTATCACATAAGTGATCATATATATATAGCAGTTCCCATCAAGGAAAGTTCCACATCCTTCCCTACCACACTCCACTTGGTTGGATTTGGGACTTGAGCGAAGGACCTTATCCTGTTTCACTTGTTCCGATCCCTGTTTCAGTGAGAACTGTTGGCTCGTGACTGTTGCAGCTTGCAACCTCATGCCTCTAACCTCACACATTCCACGTCATGTGACACTTTTTTAGAGAGATATTTCCACATTAAGTGGACTCCTAGCCGGTTCTCACTGGACACTGAGTAACAGACAAGGATGTAGGATGTCAGCCCCCGCTGCCCCTGCCCCCACCCCAGACACACATTAAACAGAGCCTGGGGACTAGGCTCATGTGCCATCTTCCTCGTGTCCTGGTGTGGCCAGGTAGCCATCACACATGTGCACAAAGTGGGCACCTCAACACCTCGTTGAGTGATTAGAGCCCCACTCCCCTTGGGGATCTCCCAACCTACTTCAAGCAGCAGTCACAGCTTTGGAATGAGGGCTGGCTTGGAGTTGGGGAGCTGGAAGGTGGCATGGAGGTGGCAGTGGGAGCCGTGCGCCAGTCACAAGCTGGAGGGTTCAAATATCTTCTGGACAAGCCCACCCAGACATCATGTGGGCATCCTGCCTACCACCTGGCCAGAAGGAGGTTCCACTTCATTCTCCTCAGCCTCCTGCAGGAACCTCACATATACTAGGAACCCAAAGTCCAAAACAGGGAGCATCCACACTCCTTTGCTCACATCCAACCAAATACTGATTTGTCCTGCTGGTTTTTCTATTCTTTTCAACCCTGGTTGGCACCAAATCCCTAGGGGGACACAGCTCCCAGACAGGTCAGAATTGCTGGGGGTGCTGCTGGCAACTCAAAGTTTTTTAAGCCATTCGCAGGACTGTGAATGGCTGGCTTCCTCCCTCTCTGGCTAACTGACCACCCCAGCTGCGGCCTCGTCACCTGACAATCAGCCCTACGATCAGGAACGAAGGGCTGGTGGGGTGGGAGGAATGCCACCCCCACCATAGCAACCTTCCCGTTGGCAACAACTGAAGCTTCCCCTATTGGTGTCCAGCAGCCCTGGTGGTCTCTACCCGCAGAGGCTCCAGGATTCTGGGGCACCTTCCCCGAAGCAGGAATCTGATTTCTCCAGAAGGAAGGCAGGCCAGGCAGCCTCCAGGCCTGTTCCAGGGATGGCCGTAGGCCAGCAGGCAAGGTTGATTCATCCCTGTGGAGCAGGAGCTGCTGCTGTCCGCCTGGAGGGCTGTCCCCCCCTTCTTTTTAATGACTAATCAAAGTTAATGTCACTAGTGCAGAGGCCCAGAGCTTGGTCAGGAATGTGTGAGCGGCCACACTGGGGGTCCAGGAAAGAGGGCTCTCCAGTCGGGTCCCTTTTCCCCTCCCCTTCCTGGGTACTGCTTCTATCAGATCTCTGCTCCAGCCGGACAGCCCGGTAGCAGACCCCGAGCAGCTGGCTGGGCAGGGTTCAGGCGCCAGGTGCCATGTGCTATCGGATTAAGCCCCTGGTCCTTTCTGGATGTCAGTTTTCCAATTAATGAGATAGGAGGCTAGGCTAGATGGCCCCTGGAGCCATTCTAGCTGCATCCCAGATGAAAATGTGCCCAATCCACTGCTTTTTCTGGGAAACCCCAAGGAGGGCACGGGATGGGGGAAGGAGGGAGAAGCTACCCTGGACTTATTCTTATACCCTCATTTCTTCTACTGGGTCAGGGAGGTTCCAACGTCTCTATTTTACAAATAAAATGACTATCGAGGATTAAGGCGTAAACCTGCCTGTTACTGCGCTCAGTTTCCCAGCTTCTTCTTGGCAATGAGAAAGAGGGAACTGCTGGGCAAAGAGGGCAGCAGACTCCCCCTGCCAGGCCTGCCTGGCCGCACCAGGGAGAGGGGCTTTGCCCCCTCTGGACCAGAGGGCTGGTGTCCCAACCACCCCCATCCGCTACTGGCTGTCCATCTCTGCCTTCTAAAAGGTCCTCCCAGCTCTCATCTATTCAAATCCAACTCCTCTGAGCCATCCCAAGCTCTCTTGTTCCAGGAAGGCTGATTTTGTGTCTGGCTCTCTCTGTGCTTGGGCTCCTGAGGCTAGTTCCATATGGCCACACGGCCCTGCACGTACACGAAT